ATGCTTTACACATTCACTAATAACTGCACTTTATACCCATTTTTAGATAAAAAAAACACGAAGAATAATAACATTTGCAATTTTTTTAAAGATATATTTTAATCTGTTAATATCAATGTAAAAAGGAACCCTACATTGATCTGGTATTAATTTCTCACAATCTGTTAGACAACAACTCTGTTCTCGCCCTGGCCGACCTATGCCCGTGAACCAAAAAATATTAATCCCTAGAGGTTCACTACAATAGGACTAGGCACTTTTATTTAAACATTTATTGGTTTTACTTTCTTACGCGCGGAATATACATGTAGTATAGATACTGTAGGTTATGTAGATTTTAATGGAAAACATGTTTTGGGGTCCCGTGATAAATCTCAAGAAGAAGTCGTTTTTTAAATGTCTGTCTTTCCGTCCGTCTGAATGACTGTAAACTTTACTAAAAGTACCTAGTACATAGTACATAGTACTACACCTAAAAATACATAGGTATTTTTCTCAAAATGAGTATTTTCTGATCAATCTGGGCGTTTCGTGTCTCTGCACGTTTGAATCTTTTACTTTTTGGAAGTATTCAACTGCCTTTGGCTTCAAAGTTTTCTGAAAAATCGCTTCAGTGACTGAGAAGGCTGAAGGTTAACCATTGTTTTTCCACTGATGGCGTATAAAACGCTTAAAATCGGGCAAAATCTCATATTCCTTGAAATCACTGAATTTTTCAAAAATTGAGAAAGTTCAAAATTTTTTTAGTGTTTCCCTACAACTACAATATTGAAGACATGTGTTATTTCCTTAATAAAATATGTTTTTCAAAAACCTATCTTTACATAAAGTGTTTTACAAATTTTTGAAAGTATGAGTAGTTTACGCGAAATTTTGCGTAAAATATTCATTTTTTAAACAATTATTTTCTCAAAACCTATTCAAAATTTTTCCTTTAAATTTTTCCTCCGATGGGGGATTAGACGCTTAAAAGTGTCCCGTTTTCAGCTCTGAATTTTCAAAAATTGTAAAAAGATTGGAAACATTTTTCATAAATTAAAAATGTTTTAAAAAATTAATTTGGACAATTCTGTAAAAAAGACTCCTCTTTTCGCGTAATTGTTCGTTCAAGAATGTATGTTTTGTAAAAAAGCTTGCAATTTTTCTTTAATTTTCCCCCCTCGGATAGAGCAAAGGGCAAACAAATATTTCACGACACACGGACGATAACACAAATAACAAACTAGGTTAGTTATTAGCTGTTTATTGTCTTATCATCTATTATTTTATTAGCCTAATGAGGTTCGTGCCCATCACAGGTGTTATAAAAATACTGTTTGTGGCAACGTTTACGGTGCATTTTCAAAGTAATGTTCTGGCGGGATGTGGCCGCGGGAGCGGAGTGGGGGGAAGGGGAGGGGGAGGGGGAGGGGGAAGGCGCGCTGGTGCGTGCGGGGGCGGCTCCCGCGCCCATGTCGCGCCGCCGCCCGCGGAATCGCAAGGAGCACCTGCGCGCCGGGGCAGGCGGCCAACGGGGCCGCGCCCCCGCCCCCGCCCCAAAACGCCTGCACGCCGGACGGCCACAGCGCTGCCTCTGCGCTAACGCAAAGCGCGACGCGACCGCTCCCTTAGCTGCTTCTAGACGAGGACATTAAGAGTGAAAATTAGTTTCAATTATATGCTACAGCGTGTCTAATAAAACGGACAGCAATTCTCTGAAATATTTTAGTTATTTATTCATTCGTTTATTTATTAATTTGTTTGAGTTTTGGGGCACTTCAACAACAAGCGTCATTGGGATCCATGTATGTAATGAGATGAGGAAAGCGGCAAAAGAGATGAGATGACGTGAATTATGTAGGTCATGTCGAGAGACGAGTTGGGAGCCAGTGTTAGAGCTAGCTAGACGAGGGCTAGGTCGGCGCGGAATCTCTCCATCCAGCGAGGGACGGACACCGCCACCTCCCGCGATAAAACAAGTACTACACTTACGAGGCCTTACAACCTAAGCAGTTGACGCACCCAAAATCACCAATAAATCATGTTGGAGGTGCAATGAGGGGCAGAGGAAATGGCAGAACCTTGCTGAGAGCTCGATTTGTCCACTTCAAATTCCATAGGTGTTGGCCAAGGATCGACTCCTGGGCCCAACGGTGGCAGGCGTACATGTATTAAGCAGCCGCCCTTTCCCCATCTAAAAAAAAAAAAATTCCGAATCAAATCACTAGAAGGATGGTGTCATACTAAATTTCACTTAGTTGTGGGACGGAGCGTCCTCGAGTGCAGAAGGAATGACGAGGTAAAGAAGCATTTGGTCGTTAGGCAACCCGTCGCGCTTGCCAAACAGGTTCATCAGAAATCCCACGCGCATGCGCCTCGCGTTGGAAATAATCAATCGCTAAAGTGATAAAAAATACGAGAGACCGCAAGAGAACGGACTCTTTGACTTCGAGAGAGTTCTCAGCAGATGTTCAAATTTCTTTCTCCCCCTCTCGTCGCCTCTCAAAGAACCATTCAAATAGCAAACAGGCCAATTTCTATGAAGGAAATCAGTTCGACGTCCTCTCACTGTTTTGCTCTTGTTATTTTATGCATTCCTATTTTACATTTGTACTTTATGTATTTCTGTATGCATTTATACGATTAATTGTTTTGTGTTCGTCAACGATTGATGATTGTTAGTGATTCCGGGCGCGTTGACTGCTAAGGTCATTATTCTCATACGTATGCTTTTGCTCGGGATGTGATCTTTATCCACTGTGTGGTGAGGTGTGGCACCTACCTTCAGTCGGCTAGCGGGGTTTTCCCCAACCAGGAATCTCCCTCCGGCGGAGGACCGGCCCAGCCACCGGCTGGTCTCCCGGCATGTGTACTATGTGTGTGGTGCATGTTGGGGTAAGCGTGTGGAAGTAAGAGGTCAGGTTAGGACAATGAAGAGGAAGGAAGAATTGCACCGTTGCCCGTTTGTTATGGCACTGCTCCGGCATTCGCCTGGCGTTGATCAAAAAAACACGGAAAACTACCGATCAGAGCAGCCGGCCACTAGAATTCTCCAGTCAGCGACTGAATTCGACCTCGCTGGAAAGCTAGTGTGATTACTCCCGGTAGCGTCGTGCATGATGTATTTATCAAGAGGTGATGGTATTTCTTCTCCACTAGAACTTTTTTCTGGCATTTCTGACAGGCATTTCTGACAACGGGGCACCGGCCCAGCCAGGGCAAGCTATAAACTCCCGACATGAGGGGCTGTCTAGTGCATGCAAGTGAGAGTATAAGATGAGTGGAGAAAATGATGGGGAAGGAAATATCTCTCGCGGTCTGTGGCCCATTTCTTGAGGTACTCTAGCGTTCTTCTGGTTGTGGTCGAAAATACCGCGTAAAAGATCAGCCGGCCGCTACAAGTTTTCTCCAGTCAGCAGCTGAAATCAACATAGCTATCTCGCTAGTGTCGAAAATTCGCCACCAACGGGACTCGAACCCTAGATTGTTCCGGTTAGAAATGCTTCCATGAGCCAATTGAACCGGTGAATTTATATGACTGGGTTTACGCAGACACTCTCAACACGCTTGCTCAACTGTTTTTTCTGAAGTCTACTTTTATATTTAGATTTATTATTAATTCTGCAATTAAGTATCACAACTTGTTACAGAATATCTTAACTTTACATGAATTAAGATTACATTGACTAACAATGAATTAAAAGAGAGTAGTTAATTAAAAACAATAATTAATAATAATTAGTACACAATTTCACCGCGTAAGCCTTACAACACATCACTTCACTTTACCGCTCCGTACTACACTTACTTGTTATGTATTTCTTCCGCATTCCTTTCCCTCCACTTCATAACACAACACATGCACTACATAAATAGAATAATAATAATAATAATAATAATAATAATAATAATACAACTACTAGTAAAAACAATTAAACAAACATACCTATTAGGAAATACCAGTCATTTAACATTAGAAACTTAACAGTAATACATAATATATACAGTACAACAATACATATATACATACAAACTTAACAGTAATAAATATATATAAGTAATTTATTGTTACATTTTCTCAAGCATTGAGGAGAGGGTTCAAACATTGTCACAGGCAAACTGTTCCAGTCTCTAATAGTTCGGTTTTTGAATGAAAATTTCCCAACGTCCATTTTCTGTATTCTTGTCTTAATTTTGTTCTCGTGATCCGCTCTACCGAAGTATGAAGGTTTTCCAAGACGGTTAATTTCATTCCAAGCCGGATAACCTGTGTATGCCGTGTACATAGCATAGAGTCGCAATCTGCCTTTTTTCGAGTGACTCCCTCTATTTTTAGTACCACTGAAAGTGAATTTTGATGCTCTGCGCGGGAACTTTTCTAGATAACCTTGTTGCGATGGGTCTCAGCAAACAGCGCCATATTCAAACGCGGGTCGCACTAGTGACATGTAAGCTAATATTTTCTTCTCACTATACTCGTCTTTAGGATCCCCATAACGCAATGGATGACGAAGAGGCTCTGTCCACAACGAAATGTACTTGGTTTTCCCAGCTGAATTTAATGTCTAATTGTATTCCTAAATATTTGTAAGATATGACTGTAGGTATGTCATTGTTGTTAGGTATGACTTGCTTACTGAGAGACGCAAAGTATCTGAAACTCAACCTATAACTACCAAGGGGCAAGACAGTCTGCGATCGAGTTCTTAATCATGTTCTGCCAAAAGTGTCATTGAGAAAATTAGCCTGCGTTGTTTCGAAATATGTTTATTTCCTCCTCTACAAGCACATGTCTTATGGACGGGTAATGGTGCAACCAAAATATTTCCTTGAGAAAGTGAACAATTTTAATTAATATGATTAACGAATGAGAATTGTGAGTATTTTCAAGATCAAAGCCGGGATTAATGTTAACATTACTTTTTATAAAGAGTATTAATGTAATACAATGTTCTAAACGTATTTATTCGAATTTATAAAAATAGTAAGAACGCGTTCCCAAACAATCTCTGGAAGCTTACCAGACCGTTTTCCACCTTAATGCTTCGGTACATCGTTGCAAAAACGCCGGCAGGTGATTCCAGCTCCACTAGCGGCGGCTCGTGACCACATGCTGAGCTTCCTTCTTTACGCGCGAGGATTGCGAAGGCTCCCGTGAGCGCCACATTTAAGGAGGTCGGGCAGATCGTTGCAGGCAAAACACGCGAAGGCCTGATGTCCTCATCGTGAGTGTCGTCATATGTGTCACCCCTCCAGGAGAATTTTGGGAAGGGCTGGCAGTGACACCCCCGCCCCCCTCTTTCGCTGAGCAGTGACCACCCTCCAGACATTTCCAAGATAGTGCCAACTCTAGGGGGGACGTATTTTCTGGAGCTCCAAAATACTTACCCCCTTATTTTACTATACATAGTTCAATTACGAACAAAGGTACCGATAACGGTGGTTGACGTTTGATCTTTTTGCTCCCGAGTAGCATAAAACATGTTTGCAAAAGCAAATGAACTACAACTTTGATATCATAGTATTTTTGCCAGAAAAATATGTTGTGTTCATTTTTACCAAAATGAACAGACCCTCGAATTTGAAACATATATTTTAATTTTGTGGGGGGAGAGGGTACGTGAAGCCCTTTCGACAGTTCAGAAATTTTCGTTAAAATGCCTTTTCAAGATTTTCCTCGAATGTACAATACTCAAATTCAAAATGCTCACATTCAATTTTCATTAAAAACATTAAATTTTCGAAAATTGAAAAGTTTTCATGTTTTTATATCCTCACTACCAAATTTATTATTAAAGATAGAGATTTTTCTTCATAAAAAGCTACATAAAAGCAGTGACACTCCAATCGAGTTGGAGAGGGCGTGATATGAGACAAGTGTGACAAAAATGGGCGTAGGCAACGACAACCTGGGACCCTGGTATTGGATGGAGGAAAGCGGGAAGAAAAGAAATAAAACGTCTCTCGAGATAAATTAGGATCCACAGGACAGAAATGCATGGACAAAATAGAACTAAAACAGAAGAGCGACGGAATAGATGAGGACGAATAGATAAATGATCAAAAACTAAGAAATTATAAAGACAGTAACATTCACAAACCTTTCTGATGTTCAAATAAATATTGTAAATTGCGATGTTATTGATTGTATTGTGCATTACGGATTATGTTCTGGTCTATACTAGCCAATCCATTCATTGTAACAGGAGGCATTTGTCCTAATGTGATGTAATGGGGTATAACAACAACAACAACA